AGAAGGGGCTTTGGGGGATGGAGGAGACAGACTTTTGTTGAGTACAGAATTCTGAGAGTGCTTGGGTGAGCCAGCGGTCTCTCGAAGAACCGACCTACTGTAAGTGATCTTCTTTTCTTCTGAATGAATATCAGTTCCCTGTTGATGTACTAGTGGTTTGGATTCTGCTGTGAGTCTGAGAATTGCGTGTCAAATTTCTGGGTCATATCAGAGTTTCAGGTGCAGCTTGCTATGGCAATTAGTGCATTGGATCTCAATGCATGAAAAGACCCAGAATCGGCTCAGTTCAAGGCCACAAACAGGATTAGTCTGGACTGTTCTTCTGTGGCTGCTGATGAAACCCTTCTTAAGTATGAAGAATTTGTCACCTGTTGTTTCTCCTTTTTTTTACTGTTTCAGATGTATAGGGTTGAAGATGGTTTCGTGAATAGAGGGCTGGTGTAGGAAAACGGCAGTGGAAGAAGACAGCAACTAACTGTTCTTTACTGACAGAATGCGAACTGTTCATATCTTGGCACTCCTTTCAGTCACTACAATAAAAAATCAATATATTTTCTTCTTGGTGGGCTATTTGGAATTTGAAACGTCTCCTAAAAAAGATGCTCGTGAAGGGTGAATAGCCTTTGAGAAAATTTAGAAAAACTCGAAAAATGAGAAAATTTGGAGGGGGTAATAAAGGATGGACAGGGGTGCTGAGCTGTACATCATTGTTTTAGTATATTAGATATAGATTGTCTTCTAACATCTTTGTTACAATTAATAACTTCTTACGTTACCACATATTATAAGGACTTCATATGGAATTTATTTTCTGATCTTTATGGTCAGTACAATAAAGGAGAGGAGGTTTTAATGTTGATCATTTAGAGAATTTCCCCTTGGTGAAGTGGGAGAGAGAGGTGGTGCCCAAAGATTAGATACATTCTGTAGAATATTTCTTCTCATCAATTCAATGGATGGTGCATCCGGAGTCCTATCTGTTAGGACAATACCGCTTAGGCTTAGGCTAGAAGGAAAATGTCTAAAAAGTTAGGGTAGCAAAAATGCGAATGTTGAGATGGATGACTGGGAAAACTAGGAAGGATAAGATCAGAAACAAATCAGGAAGGTTTTTTTAGCTCTCACATTTTCAGGTGCTCTAAAATAAGAGGCAGGATTATTGGGAGATGCACTAGAGCAGCAGTGGATTGGACAATTTGGGAAGAAAGAAACCTAAGAATTTTTAATGACAAGGAAAGAAGCAAAGAAGCTGTGGTCGAAGTTATAACCTTAACGCTGGCACATTGGGTGAAAACCTTAAAGCTGTTTGCTGACTTTAAGGTAGAAGATTTCTTCAGAGCGTGGGGAACAATTGCTGACTCTTTGTCTAGAAGACATTTAGTATATGAGGTCTGTCTCCTCCAGATGCTGAGTGGAAGAAATTGAACTTTGATGTCAGCTGTATGGGCAATCCTGGCCCATTGGGCATTGGTGGGGTAATAAGGGAAGAGGATGGAAATATTTTAGCCATGTACTCAGGCCCTGTTCAGCATGGTGATGTGGTGAGATCAAAACTGATGGCAGCAGTTTATGGAGTAGAAAAAGCTAAATAAATGGGGATTGACAGGCTGATTATTGAAGGGGATTCAAAAATTGTTGCGAGTTGGCTGAAAAAGGGGGAAGGAGTAATATGGAAGCTAAGGAATGAGCTCAGGCGCTTCAAGCAGAAGGTGGATTTGGAGATCTGCAAACAGCATGGCTGATGGTTTAGCTAAACAAGGGATTCAGAGACAATCTATGTTCTGAGCTGTTTTGTAAATAGTGGGGTAGTTTCTTTTGGGCTTCTTGTTTCTGCCCACAACTTCTTGTTGTATATGCTATCTTAATCTAATGAATCAATTTTTGTGTTGCTGATAAAAAAAGGATCAGAAATGAAGGTGATAAAATGAGAGAAAGTAGACTAAGATGGTTTGGTCACGTGCAGGGAGGACTGTCTATAATACCAATAAAAATAAGTTATCTGGAAGGGCTAAAGGGACCAAAAGGGACATAGGTTGTAGTAAGAAATGATTTAAGGGCCCATAACAATGGATATGGCACTGAACAGAGTGGAATGGTGGAACAGGATTCATGTAACAGAACCTCATATAGTTGGAACAAGACTTAGTTGAGTTCAGTTTTATCTATTCTATTCATTTGATTGTTTTCAACATCTTGGTTTATTTTCTATAGTTTTCTTGTTTTATCGAATTATGCTTATTATTTTTATTCCCTCTTGTTTACTGATCTTTATGTTTTTGTCGTACAGTAAGTGCATTTTTGTTGTTGTAATACATAGCTTCCTATCATAATATAATTATTTCATCTCAATTGGCAATTGTTTATTACTTTAGGGTGTCATTTTCTGATCCAGTTGCTGTGAGGCATTCTCTTGAAATTATTTCTGAGTTAGCTACCAGAGATCCTTATTCTGTTGCAATGGCATTGGGTGAGTTCATTGGTTTAACAATCTAAATTCTTTTTCATTGTATTACTCTTTTGTCTTTTCCACTCTAATGTCTTTTGGCATTATTTTTACATTTAACCCAATTACATATGCATGTGTAAAGGTCCATTTATCTTTCAGCATACACACAAGATTGTTCACATTATGGATTCCATAAATATGCATGTAAACATAAATTTACCCACTGGGGAAATGGCTGTTGTTATTCTGTGTTGACACTACGGACTTTTCTATTTTTTTTTTCTTGTATCATCAAAATCCATGGTATTGACACAAATGGTGTGACTTTGGATTGGCAAGAAAAGAATAGCTACTTTTTCTTCTCCTTGTAAATCTATTGTGCTACTTATTCTTTTTCTCAGAAGAGGATTTAGAGTTCAATTTTGGAAAAATCCTTGCAGAGGGAGGGGTTCTAACATTTCTATTTTTATCATAATATTATCCTTGCATAGTGTCCTACTTCTCGAGATCTTTAGTAGGTATTTCCTAGAAATTTGGGTTTAGGATAGGTCTGAGGGACAGGGAGTTGGATAATTTCGTTGTTTTATTCAATCTTTTGGTAAGGGGTATTCCTGTGCTTTTGAGTCTTTGGTCCCCCTGTGCTTTCCTGTACTTCTCGAGATCTATTTTTATCATGCTTTCCTGTGCTTTTGAGTCTTTGGTCCCCCTTTGTTTATTATCACTATCCTCTTTTCCTATAAAAAGCAGTATGGTTTGGTCTCACTCCCTTGAAAATAAGGGCATAATCTTGGGTTGACCCCTGGTGAAACCAAGAAATTTCACCAAATCTTGCCAATATTGTGAACTGTGACACTAATTACGGAATTGCTTTCTAGAGTAGTTTGATATGATTTCAGTTTTCCCATTTCATATGGTTAAGCTCTTACAGTTTGGCACTTTTCCCCTTCTATGAAGAGGGGAACTCATTTGGTGGTGTACTTTCCTTGCTACATTTTGGGGCATTTGAGGAAGAGAAAATGAAGATGTTAATTGGTGGTTTGTCTTTTATGTATATTGAAGTGGAAAATTTATCACTGAAGTTTTCACTTTTGGTGTGTGGTTTAAGTGTCACTGTGTCTTACAGTTTTGGCAGAATGACAATTGAAGTCAATCTTAGTATTGTTGTTGGGTGGGCAAACACCAATTGATGTTTGTGGAGGTTTGTTAATTTACTTCTGGTGCTTAAGATTCAGGGTGAACATCTCATTCTGTTGAATTTTTAGGCCTGCTGATTCATATGTTGATTTGTTTGCTAAAATTAATAGTTTCTAAACATGAAAGGTACTGTTGTGCCATCTTAATATTGAAATCTTCTTCTTTGTTTTTTTTTTCTTTCTTTTTCCTTCTTTCCCCTTTTGTTTTGGGGATGCATGCTATACTTTTGCTCTCATTCAATGAACTCATTTATGTTATTGATGAATCAAAAGTTTGAGAATGGTTCTATTCTGTTCCATTAATTGTGAAATGCCTAAGCTTTGCATTTGGAGGTTTGGGAAAGTGGATTTGGAGGTTTGGAGTGGAAGAACACTGCTGGTGGAGGAAGCTTATTGCTTCCAAGTATGGGCTTCAAACGGGAGGATGGATGACTGCTGTTACACTTCCCTCTTATTGATTCTCTCTATGGAAATCCATCATGAAAATACTCCCTATTTTCCTAAAAGGAGTGGGTTTCAAGTTAGGTTATGGGAGTAGAGTTCGGTTTTGGAAGGACAAATGGTTGAACAAGGTTTCTTTGAAAGAGGGTTTTCCCCTTTTGTTCTCAGTGGCTGAGGATAAAGAAGCAACTGTTGCTGACTCCTTCGAGTTAGTTCGAGGTGAAGTGGTGTGGAAGCCCAAGTTCCAAAGGGATTTTCAAGGCTGGGAAGTGGCTGAGGTGGTGAACTTGCTGAGTAGCCTAAATAGTTTCCCCTTTCAACCCCAGTCAAGAGACCAATGGACCTGGACCTGGACTGCTGATGGAAAATTTTCGGTTAGATCCTTTGCTGATGGTTTGACTGGTGGTAGGAATGCAGACTTCCCTTGTAGGCAAATTGGATCCCTTCATCCCCTTCTAAAATTTATTTCTTGGTCTGGGCCTCTGCACTAGGAAAATGCCTAACAAGAAGCAACCTGGCTAAGAGGGGATTCAGCTTAGAGGACCTAGGTTGTGGAATTTGTGGTCTGGTCGAGGAATCCATGGACAATATCTGCATTCATTGTGATATTTCTTGGAGAATTTGGTCCCATTTCTTCTCTGCTGTGGGTGTATGCTGGATTATGCCGAGCACTGTAAAGGATCTGTTACAATGCTGGCACCTTCCGGGTGTATCAAAGAAAGGCAAGTTCATTTGGAGATCTATCCCTGCGGCAGTTATCAGCACTATATGGTCAGAGAGGAACGACAGAATTTTTAGAAAGGAGAAGAAGAGCCCTGAGGTGTTGATCCAATGTATTGTGGCTAGATTAGCATCCTGGTTATCAGTCCTTCCTGAGTTCTGTAATCAGAAAGTATTGCTGATGTTTAAGTCAGTTAGTTTATGGGATCCCTGATCTCTTTATGAGGGGGAGCTGGCTTATGTTTCTTCCCTCTTTGTATGACTATATTTCTCATTAATAAAATTTACCTTATGTTTTTCAAAAAAAAAAGCTTTGCATTTGATGTTCAACTTTGGTAGGGGGAAGTAATGATATTGAATTAACTAATCATCTTTACGTGACTACTTTATTTCTGTTTTTAGAGGATGTGAACTTTTCTCATTTTCTGTCATTTACTCCTTCAATTGGGTTTTTGGTATGTTACTAACATTTTCTTCTTCTTGTTCTATTTGCAGGAAAACTTGTCCTCCCAGGAGGTATCCTTGGTTATCTTCTTTTTTTTTTTTTTTTTTTTCTGTTCAACTTTTGTACTTACAAATAAAGTTCATCCCTTGTCTTGTTTAGAAGATATGACATCAGTACATACTTTGCACTTAGCAATTAAAGTCACACACATATACACAAGTGTATACATGAGAGAGAATACACTGTACCGAAATAAATGCAGATGCACATATGCCCATTTCTGCTTCTTGAATTTTCTTGCTTTTCTCTTGAAAAAATCTTCGTAACTGACTGCTGTGCCTGAAACCCAAAAAAACATGCATTAGTAACAAACACTGAACTCACAGTATTTAATGTGGTTTGGGGATTTGTGCTTGTTGATTGAGGCATGTGGTAAGTATGTTGCTGGATTTAGGAGATGGTTGGGGTTGTGTTTGTAGGGTTTTGATTTTCCTTTTTTTATTTCTTGTTGTGGCAGGAGTGAGGTGGATGAGGATTGGTGTTGAGCCTTTTCTTTGTTCTTGACTCGATGATTTCTTATCACCCAAGATGTATCTTTGTCTTTTGTTTCCATTTGATAAAACTGTTAATTATAAAAAAATGTTCCTATGTCCATGGATGAACCCCTGTGAATTGTCAAAGCAACAATTACAACCCTAGGACACAACCTAATTTATCATGGAATTCGATTTTTCTGTGAGTTCCTAACATGAATGCAACTGAGAATATATATGCAGTAAATCAAATAACAAAAATATCCCTGTATGGCGGCACTTTACTAAGGCCCCATAGTCCATGGGAAACTTCACTATAGCTGAGCTACTGCTGCATGAGACTGTTTAGAAGGCTCCAACTGAATAATATTGACGTGGAAGGAATTTCTTGAAACATTATGTGATGGATTAGAAATAGCGATCAAGGGACTTGGCACTACAGGTATATTCTAAGAGAACTGTCATTGGAAGGAAGATAAGGATTGGAGTCACTTGGGTTCCAAGAACTGCCAAAACCTTTGCTGATTCTTTAGCAAGATACATTCAATAGGGAATATATGTTTTGGGGTGTAAGCATTGGGGAAAACTTGTAAGAAGTTTTGAAATGTAATGGGGTTAGGTGGTGAGGACTAGCCTAACATAAATCCATATACTTTGTACATTAACATTTTTTTTTTTCAAGGAAACCAACAAACTTTTCTGTTACCAATGAAATTTCATATATTGTTTTAGCTGCAGGCCCCCCTCCCCCCAGGTGGGGGCATTTGACCATGTTTTAAAATCCTTAGAACCCTTTTTTAATGCAAGAGATTTGTTCATCAGTAACCTAGGTTTTTCCTATATCATAAATGCTCTCTTATGCTCTAATAATAAAGAGGTCTCTTTTGTTCAAACTGTTTGAAACCATGAAGTTTGATTTCAAAAGTTTCCTTGTTCTATTTTGAGCATAAAGAAGATCAAAGAAATGCAAGAATAAGAAGTAGATGCAGCAGCAGGCTGAAACTAGCATGGAGAGAACATAGGGGAAGTAGAGAAATGGAGAATAAGCCTATTGTAGTTGGATAAACCAAACAAGAGAAGCAAAAAATTCAATGTTTAAAATAGAAATGTTTAGCTTAAGAAAAAAACTTCTTATTACTTTGTACAACTATATATTGACAAACCAATTGGAATTTCGTTTTTTCAATTAAGAATAGTAAAATTCTAGAGAATTGCAACTTAACCCTTTTCTTAAGACACCAAAACAACCAGAAAAAAACTCAAAAAAAAAAAACAAAACAAAATGTTTTTAGATGACTTGATGGTACAATTGCATCCTTGTATTCAGGACCTATTGGCATTAGGAATTCATTAAGAGCAGAACTATTTGCTGTTCTCCAGGGAATAAGAATAGGGAGGAATCAACATATTAACCGGTATTAATTGGCTGATAGTAGAAGGGGATTCAAGAACTGTTATTGGATGCCTCAAGAATGGAAGTGAGGTGTCATAGCAATATAGATATATCATGAGAGGGATCAATTTCTTGCTAGAGAAGTGGGAACAACTTTCAGCTGGATTGAAAGATCTTGTAACTGTTTATCAGATTGCCTTGTAAAACAAGGGAGTAGAAGATCTCAAGTATAGGGGATTATCACTGAGATGGATGACTGAAATGTAAATATGAATGATGGTGGTGGGTTAGTTAGCAATGCTAGCCTAAATTGTGTGATGTAAAGCATGTACTGTATATGTATTTCATTTAATTCTTATAAATTAATAATTTATTTCAGCACTGATAAAAAAATAAAATGTAAATCACCTACAAATTATGAAATTGCCACTGGTTCAAGAATATGAAAACTCTTTATTTCTTTCTCCATAGTTTCTTTCCCTGCTTCCCTGTTTGCATTAGATACTGTTGCAACTGCCATCATCCAATGAACAGAGAACATATTTTTCATACTACTTAGGTGGAGTGCAAGGTTATTTTATATCCATTATTTATTTATTAAAAAAAGAAAATCAGAATGCTATAAACACTTGATGAAATGAACATCATGATGAACAAAATCAGAATACAAGCTTCACAGTTATTACTTGCAACTCCTCAATCTCATGTCCTATTTCTAATAAAACAAGATCAAACAGGGAAAAACATATTGAAATTGTATATGTAGGATCCTGTTGGAAAGACTGAACATATATGTTGACCAAACACATGATCCACCATTTTCTAATAGTAGGAATCTGCTGAATTAAAAAATATGAAAGAAAGTAGTTTCTTAAAGAGAGAAGGAAGAGAGAAGGCTAAGAAGAGAAGAAGAGAAGTTTGAAAGAAAAGAGAGCAATAATCTGGCCACCCCCTTCACTTATTATTTATACTAAAATAATAGAACATTATAAAGACAACTATGCCCTTATAGGGCGGCAAAACATAAAACAGCATATATAACACACAAAAACATAATAAAATTTGGACTCACATAACTACTGTGGTCCCCACCTATCTAACAACTAACATAAAACATCTACTCAGAAAAACATCATAAAACTAATTAATCTTCAACACTAATCGAAACACCAAAAGAATCATGCATTTAACAAAATTATTTGCAGTTAATAAAAGTAATAAATAAATGAAATACACACACACACATCCCAGAGACAAAGCACAGCCATCTAATGAGTAAAACTGAACTAGAAGAGCCATGTGACAAAGTGACAAAATAATCTTGATCCTTTCAAGTTATGGAAGATTCAAGAACTTGAGTTTCTCAAATATTTGAGGCTTTGAGCTTTAGCACTTTGGTAGCTTGAGTTTTTTGCTCACTGGAACCATTGGCTTTGAGCTTTTCAAAAGAGGGTTCCCATGCTTGCAGAGAAAATGGGAGAGAGAGAGAGAGAGTGGGAGGCCAACAGACTATAGAGAATGAACCCTAAAATCTGTCTTTTGTCTCTTTTTAATTTTGTACTTGTATCTTTGTTTTATGTAGCCACATTGTTGGCCTCATTTTTTAAAGAAATTTATAGTTTGCAAATTTTAAATATTTGGTCTTTTTTGGAAATTTGTGAAAATTTGCTAACCTGTTGAATAAAATGTAGAACTTAATGTTTTTCCCCAATTCATGGCTTATGCAAATAATTGGTGAATTTTCTAATAATGGTGAAAACCAACTTAGTTGAATCAAAGTAAGTACTACAGATTATAAAATTAGAAGCTTTTGTTTTATTATTTTAACTGCTATTTTCAGTATGGTTTTTTTCAGTCTTAGTTTATCATATATAAGGTTATTTTGTTTATTCTTCAACTTTGTATGACCCCGCTTACATAGTATCTTCTTCTTACCATGTAAATTAGTGATAGATTTTTCATGAATCAGGGGCTCTACAGGATGTTCTCCATTTGCATGATGTTCTTGCTAGAGTTGCTCTTGCAAGACTTTGTCATACAATATCTAGGGCTCGTGCATTAGATGGTAAGTGTGTTTCTAATTCTTCATGCTTTGAAACAAGTGCTTTCATACCTTAATGGACAAATAGTTGATATGACCTAAAATATTGTCTATACAGAAAGACCTGATATTAAAGCTCAGTTTACATCTGTACTCTATCAACTTCTTCTGGATCCTAGTGAAAGGGTTTGTTTTGAGGCAATTCTGTGTGTATTAGGCAAATTTGATAGTGCAGAGAGGTATGCGTTTTCTCATGCAATTTCTTCTACTCCTTTTATTTGTTTACTTCATAGAACCTGAAGGTTGTGGATTTATTGGGTTGATAAGATACTCTGACATTCACCAATTGAAGGACTGAAGAACGAGCTGCTGGGTGGTATCGGTTAACCAGAGAAATTCTCAAGTTGCCAGAGGCACCATCTGCATCATCAAAGGAAATTAATGTTGAGTCTAAAGATGGCCTTCCACCAAAGCCTTCCAAAGATAAATCTCAAAAATCAAGGCGTCCTCAGCCTCTTATCAAACTTGTGATGAGAAGGTCTATGAAGTTCAAATTTCTTTTTCTTTTCTTCTATGCTTGGTTTTTGTTCTGATAAGATTCTTGCATGATCTGGATTGGAGAAAATAGGTGCTTGAAGTGTGTTGAATTCCAGAGATGCAATTAGAATTATTTTTTGTTTTCTCATTCATCTGAATATAATTATAATTTCGTTCTCTTTTTCCCTATCTGATTTGTCCTTAGGTTGGAGAGTTCTTTCCGGAGTTTCTCCAGGCCTGTACTTCATGCAGCAGCCAGAGTTGTGCAGGAGATGGGAAAGAGTCGTGCTGCAGCGTTTGCATTAGGTGTACAGGATATTGATGAAGGAGCTCATCTTAATACATATTCTGAAGCGATTGATGCAGTGGAACCAGATCTCAGTGAAAGTTCACAATCTGAGGGTAGTCCATCCTTTATGTGTTGTGGCTGGTCTCTTGCACCCCATCCTTCTATTTGATCTTTTAGAAAATTTGGATTGCTGTCTGATTTTGTCACTTGAAGTGTTAGAGTTATCTTGTTTTTGTCATCTTTATTATTCTTTTTACCTAAATGGTAACAGCGTGTTTGTTGTTTGGTCTATTCCACTTATTAAGGGTCACAGCACAACATATCAGGATTTTGATTTTTTCTGTTAGCCTCTTTGTTCCATTTCTTTTGATGAATAATAATAAATTTATTAATTCAGAAGCTGATTTAGAGTTGTGAATTCATATAACATCCGAGGAAGAGGCGCGAGCTGCAGCCCCTCCTTGAATCTTACAAGTAAACTAGGAAAGAAAWDCARGAATCRCARCTRARYCCAAAACAATTCTTCCCTATTTACCCCTTGCTTGGCTAACACATCTGACAAAGTATTTGCTGATCTCCCCACCCACTGTAAAATGACCAACATATTCCTTGTCAACGAATTGAATTTCTTCATTTCATTCTTGTCGCGCCAAATAGCCTCTTCAGGATTTTTCAATCAACCTACCACCACTTTGCAAACCAACCCAGCTGGTTTGCAAATTGCACCCCTTGTACAACAGCTAATAGCTCTACCCTGATAGAGTCCCCAACTCCTAAGGGACCTGAGTAGAGCAACAAAATCTCTCCCTTCTCATTTCTCAAACCACCCCCCATTCCGGAAAATCCTGGATTGCCCATGTTACTTCCATCAAAGTTCAACTTCAGTGAGCCTTCAGATGGAGGAAACCAGCTTGTAATTGCTTTGTCCTTTAGGGATGAAGACCTCTCTACTGCTGATCAATTTCTCCAAAGATCATTATAAGAGAATTGATGAAAGATTTCTAAGGTCTTCAGCCAAGGTGTTGCCCTATTCAGCACACAATCTTTCAATTCCTGACTGTTCCTTTCCCTTTCTTGAAAAATTCTAGCATTCCTTTCTTCCCAAAGAGTCCAAATCAGGGCAGCGCAAGCACATCTCCACATAAGTCTCCCTCTTTTTGTAGGACAAAAGAAACTAGAAAGGTTGAAGAGCATGCGAACTTCTGATGGTTGACTCCAACTACTCCCAAACAACGAAAGTAGCCAAGCCCAAAGGTCTGCAGAAAAGGGACAAGATATTAGTAGGTGGTAACAATCCTCATTGTGAGCTCTACAGAGGATACACCAATTAGGAGAAATACAGAGGAAAGGTCTTCTCTTTTGTAGGTTATCTAGAGTGTTTACATTCCCATGGAATACTTCCCAACAAAACACCATAATCTTTGGGGGAACTGGCCTGCACCAAATTTCCTTTGACGGAAAGGGTTGTTGAGTAGAATGTTGAGAGATGGACTTGAAGAAAGAAGCACAAGTAAAGGTTCCATTGGTTCTAGGAGTCCACACCCTTTTATCTGGCTTGGAGGGATCCAAACAAACCTGATTAAGACAACATAGCAAGGCAAAGGGAGATTCAATTTCATCATCCCTTAGTCCTCTACGAAACCCGAAATCCCAATTAGGAGCTAAGGGTGTTCCTAGTAATGAGATAAATTTTGAGACCACCTCTTTTTTATACAAAGAAATAGAAAATAGCAAAGGGAACAGGTCCTTGAAAGGGGTGTCTCCTACCTAGATATCCTCCCAAAAGGAAACAACGTTGCTAGAACAAACTTCATACCTAATAAATTTGAGGAGTTGAGGAAGGGTGTTGTGAATGGCCTTCCAAGGTGTTGCTAGGTTAGCCTGCCTTGATACACCAGCATCCCATCCATTCTCTGACCTCCCATGAATGCTTCCCACCATCTCATGCCACAACCTCTCACTTTCCAATGGCCATCGCCACAACCATTTCCCCAACAGAGCTTGATTTTTTTTAGTCACCCTCCCAAGTCCCAAACCCCCCTCTTCTTTACTTCTACACACAATTTCCCAATTAACCAAATGATCATTTTTTTCTTGTCTCAGCTCCCATAGGAAATCTCTCATCAACTTCTCCAGCTTCCTAGCTTCCATAGCTGGTATCCTAAAGACAAATAAAAAATAGGTAGGTATGTTAGCCAAGGTAGCTCTTATTAAGGTAATTCTCCCTCCCAAAGAGATATAATTCCTCTTCTACGAAGCTAATCTCTTTTCAAACTTTTCTATCATTGGGGTCCAAAAATCTACTCTCCCTAGGATTGGCCTCTAATGGAAGCCCTAAGTATGACAGAGGCCAAGCAGAGATGGAGCACCCAAGACGCTCCGTAATAGCCTCAACCTCTTCTACCTCCAAATTTATACCCGCTATGCAACTCTTTTCCATATTTATTTTCAGATTAGAAATACTTTCAAATCCTTTGATTAGCTCCTTTAGGCTTGCTACCTTTTCACTAAAACCTCATTCACAAAAGATCATTTGGTCATCTGCAAACTGAAGGTGGGTGACKGGGACTTGGTGTCTCCCTATTCTCCAACCCCTAATGGCATCTTCACTGTCAGCCTTATTAATGATCCTACTAATCACATCTGTACTAAGGTAAAAAGGAAGGGTGAGAGTGGATCCCCTTGCCTGACACCCCTGCAAGCTGGAAAAAAGTCCTTCAACATACACCCAGATATCCAACTACACCACTTGTCCCCAAATCCACAGTTTCGCATCACCTCTAATAAAAATTCCTAGTCCACCAAATCATAGGCCTTTTCAAGATTCAATTTACAAATGAAACCTCTCTTCCTAGACCTTTTCATTTCCTCCTCACACTCATTCGCAATTAGGATCTGATCTGTTATTTGTCACCCTTGAATGAAGGCCCCTTGGGTTTCGCTAATGATAGAGGGGAGAATTGTTTTGATCCTCAACGAAAGCACTTTAGCCAGAATTTTATAGATGCTTGTTACCAGACTACTAGGCCTATAATCTTTTGGGTGGTTGGCATGAGTCTTCTTAGGTATCAAAGCCAAAAAAAGTGGCATTGATTCCAGGGCTTACTACATGATTGTCTGCAAATTCCTTAAAGACTTCAACTAAATCCTCTTTCAACACCTCCCAACAATCTTGATAGAAACCCATTGTAAATCCATCTGGACCTAGAGCCTTGGATCTATCCATTAGAAAGACAGCTTTCTTAATCTCTTCTTCGAACTCCTTTCCAACCACCTTGCCAATCCATCCTCAATTCTTGGCCATTCCACCCCTTCCACAACTGCTCTCTCACTCAAAGGTCTTCTATAAATCGATTTGAAGTGGTCCACAAATTTTTTGGCTATGTCATCCTAGTTGGTAATCACCTCCTCTCCTATCTCTAGCTTGGCCACAAGATTCTTTCTTCGTCTTCCATTTGCCAAGTCATGGAAAAATCTAGTGTTCCCATTGCCTTCCTTAATCTACTTGTGTCTAGATTTTTGTCTCCAACTGATTTCTTCCCTCAATAACACCTCTTCCAAATCCTTTTTCAATTGTCTCCTTAACACTCTGTCATCTTCGGTTAACCCAATTTGAGATTCCTTTACATCCAAGTTTTCTATTCGAGATATTAGGAACATTTTTTGCTCCTCAATTCTACCAAATTGATCTCTATTCCACTCTTTTATTTTGGTTCTCAACATCTTTAACTTCTTATGAAACTTGATCCCCTTCCAACTTACCCCCCTCACATCCTCACCCCACCATTCCTTCACTTTTTCACAAATTCTGGATGGGTAAGCCACATATTTTCGAATCTAAAAGGTTTGGGTCTAGTAGGAAAAGACTCGGTACCTATCTGGATAGGACAATGATCAGAGGTGACCCTAGGTAATTCTCTAGCAACCAAGTTTTCCCAACTGTTCTCCCAGGCTAGGTTAAATAAGAATCTGTCCAACTTTGAACACAAAGGGGTTTCTTGAAGGTTGGACCAAGTGTAACTGGCTTGCAGCAGAGGTATTTCCTTCAACTCACAATTTTCAATAAAACCATTAAATCTCCTCATGCTTGTTGTAATTACCTGTTGGGGATTACTGGTTTCTTCAGAGAATCACTCAAGGCTTGTTTCATAGATCATGCTCTTCTCACTATCCTGCATGAGGTCATACATTTGTTAGTTCTGTCATTTCCAGGGAAGACCCCAACATGAACTTATGTTAGCAACCTGACAGTAACACTTTGTTATTCAGGTTTGGAACTGGCCATGCAAGACAGTAGCTTGACTCTGGTTTGAGTTGGAAAGTTGTTATTAATCAGAAATGTTTCTTTTTTTTTTTTTGCACTTTAAGATTTATTTCTATAATTTTATACAACTCTGCCTCTAGAAAGTTGCTGAAGAAAAATGCCTATAGACTTGGGAATATCATGTGGCCCATCTTGAAATGAGGGTTAATCCATATTTTTGTCTTTAACCTGGTTGATCTATTTAGCTATTCAGAAAAACCACTGAAGTTCTATTTGTTTCTTGTAGTTTTTCAATACATGGGTTCTATTTTTGCTTTTATTAGCCAGTTAACAGTGACATTTCAATCCTATCGGTTCTAATCTCCTCTTTATACAAGACATGAAACAGAGTTGGTTTCATGTTAGTTTGCATGGCTTAAAGCCATCCAGTCATTGGTTAAAAAGAATGGAAACATGTTCATTTCTTCAGTTCTAAAATGACCTCATTCCAGTATTCTATAGGTAACTGGTAGAGGCTCCATTTTGGATGTTGAACCTGTGTGAAGAGTGTAAAGAAAATTCAAATGAAGTTATTTGATTTTATATTACAATCTTTCCTTAAAATAATAGGTTATTATTCAGAAAATAATGAGATATTATCATCGTCGTCGTCATCATCATCATCATCATCCATATTCATGAGGGTTTGGCAAAAGTTTTAATGCTGGCTACCAACCGTCACCCCTCCTTTATCCGAGCTTGAGAGTGGCAGTGTAAGACAAGCTCACACTGGTGGAGTTAGGGATATTATTATGAGAACCTTTTATTGCAAAGCTGGAGCAGAAAGGAATATTGGTGTAACAGTACTGGCTCTTTACACTGAATTTCTCAAATGTTCGAACTTTGGGTTTATTATGAGAACTTAATGAATTCATTGTATTTTGCGTATATGATATTCTCAAGTAGTTTTGTCCATGTTTAGCATCATCCATCTTGTAGTGTAGTTTTTGTCTTCTCTAATTTTCTTTTTCCTATTTGTAGCTAACAGAAAGGCTTCTTCAGTATCTAATAGAAGCAATGGCAAGGATACCATTGCAAGCCTATTGGCTTCTCTAATGGAAGTAGTGCGAACAACTGTAGCATGTGAATGTGTTTATGTTCGAGCAATGGTCATTAAGGCTTTGATTTGGATGCAAAGTCCACATGAATCATTTGAAGAACTAGAATCCATTATTGCATCTGAGCTCTCTGATCCAGCTTGGCCGTCGGCAATGTTGAATGACATCTTACTTACATTGCATGCAAGGTTTAAGGTATTGGATATGTTCTAAAGAAAAATTATTTTTTTTTATTCTCATTTCCCTCTAAATGTGCTTATTTTTTCCTGGAAATCATAGCATAATTCATTCAATTAGTTCCCAATTTTCTGTTTCTTGGTTTCTTTAGCTGGGGATCACTCAGCTAAGGGCTGTTGCAGTGGAAAATTCTTATCTGTATATCTTATCAAGAGTAAAAACTATAACAGCTATTTATAGATATTAGATGTCTATGAGTGAGGACCCATTACTATTTAAAAGGATAACCATACCCTTATGATTAATGTCTTGGAAAATGACAAACTCTCTGCAAGTATTAGGCGGTACGATATGTGCTAGAATTCTAAGTTGAGCCAGTTCTTATGCATGCTGTGAACCGAATTGAGAGCAAAGAGAAAACAGAATTAAGGCTGTAAGAATAGTCGACCCCCACCCCAAAGAGTATCTTTTATATTAATGAGATAAAAGGTATGTACAGTTACAAGAATGCCCTTACAGGGTTGAAAGAACAAATAAAATAATAAGAGTACGATACTGTACAACAAGGACTATTCTAATAATGTAAATCAAAGTATATCTTCACACTCCCCCTCAAACTGATGCGTAGACATCGGCATCAGTTTGCCCATAAGAACAAGGTGTCGACTTTTAGTCATGGCCTTGGTGAAGATGTCAGCAATCTACATGTGAGAGGCTACCTGAGGAAGAGATATGGACCCTGCAACAAGAAGGTCTCTAATAAAGTGACAATCCACCTCGATATGTTTAGTCATCTCACGAAAGACAGGATCAGATGCGACCTTGATAGCATTGGTGTTATCAGCATACAGAGGGATAGGAGTAGGAAGAGGAGTAACAAGATCCATGAAAAGAGACTTCAGCCAAACAATCTCGCTACATGCAGAAGACATAGCTCTATACTCGGCTTCAGTAGAAGACTTGGAGACAGTTTGCTGTTTCTTGCACTTCTTAGAGATGAGAAAGTCACCCATGAAGACACACCACCCAGTAGTGGATCGGTGAGTGTCAGGACAACCAGCCCAATCGGCATCAGCATAAATCCTCAACTGTATGGATGATGAGGAAGAGAAAAATTGTCCTTGAGAGGTTGTGTCTCGAACATAACGGATGATGTGGCGAACAACAGTGATATGAGGTTGTCGCGGGGCAGAGACAAATTGACCGATGACCTGAACATCATGTGAAATATTAGGCCTGGTCATAGTGAGATAGATCAGAGAGCCAACAAGCTGACAGTACAAAGTAGCATTAGGAAGGAGGAGGCCTTCGTATTTAGATAGTTTGACATTCAGCTCTAGGGGAGTATCAACATGTTTCTCATCAGTAATTCCAGCTAATTTGATGAGATCAGAGGCATATTTTTATTGACAAATGAAATACCCTCGACTACTACGATGGACCTCCAAACCCAAGAAGTAAGAGGACCCAGGTCCTTCATGTGAAATGAATTATGAAGTAAGGAATTTAGCTCACAAATCCCATCATGATATCATCCCCAGTTAAAAGCATGTCATCAACATACAATAAGAGGATAGTGATACCCTGGGGTTTTCTCTTAACAAAGAGAGAGTAGTCAGAGGAACACTGCTTTCTGTAAGTCTGTGCATCCTTCTGACTTTCCCACTCAACTATTTCTATGTGGTCAATTTCATGCTACAAAGATTTCAAGGTTGAGAACATTATTAACCTCACATTTCATCTCATAAGCCCTAGCAACATTAAGGGGTTCGGAGTAGGTCTCTTTCATGACATCCCAAATTTCCTTAGCTGTTTTTGCCACAAATAGTTTCGGATGATATGTGGCTGCATAGAGTTGTACAGCCATGTCATAACCAAATAGTTCTCCTGAATCCATTTGGCATAAGTTTGGTCCTCCCTAATTGGTTCCTTCACATCTCCCAACAAATAGTTCAGTTTTCCTCTACCCCCAATGGTCAACATGGCCGATTGGGCCCATTCTAAGTAGTTTGATCCATCAAACTTAATCTGAAAGGTATTCTCAGACATGCTACCAGAACTGCCATCACCAAAAACACATTCCCCTTGATTCTTAAACTCCATTCTTGGTTAAGAATTAATCAAAAAACACCTTTTTAACCACTGTAATAAGAGAAATTGCTCCCAAAAACTTATAACAGTCGGCCTAGGTCTTCTAGAGAGCAAAAGAAAAAAAAAGATTGAATGGAAACAAGTCCAACTACTGCCCTGGAATCAACAACAGTCCTGAATTTTAGGGTTTTCTCTCAAAACCATAAAAACAACAGGTGAAAAAGAGAAGATTTCCCAGCTGCACTCTCAGAATAAACAAAGATGATCTTTTCTAATGTCGATCTCAAGGAAAATGGCTTACTTTATGAAAAAGTTCTGCCCGCCACCTTCTAATTGATGCAAAACCCTAATCTTGGGATCCGAACCTTCTTCTGATTCTTCCTGATCATTGGAACTCTCCAAGGCTCTACAATCTCCTTAGTAGCAGCTGCACATTGCCAGTAACCTCCAAGAATCAGCTGATTCTCCTTTTCTGCTGAAAAACTTCCAAACCTAGGAAGTTCTCATGTAGTTGTCCTGATTAGACTAGCATAAGAACTCCTAGGTTGGCTCTGATACCAAGTAGTCGAACAAGACTACAATCTGTCTTAGGTTCAAATGAAAAATAAGTACAGATTGAAGAGAAGAAGAGAGGAGAAGAAAAGAAGAACTTGAAGGAGAATTCAGAAAAGAGAGAGAGAAGGTCTTGAGCAATAGCCGACCCACTCCTATGATTTATTTAATATTCGATTAACTGTAAAAGAGCTGAATTACCCTTATTGCTTACATGGAAAAATAATAAAAGAAAAGTAATAGTAAAAGAACTGAAATAAGTACCAACTAACACACTGACATAACTAACATAACTAACTGTCCGCTACTGCCATACAAACACGGTGAGGACCACATCAGTGTTCTCTACAGATACTTCTACTAACCCGAACCACAGGATTAATGCTTTGAATGGTAAGATGGTTAAGGATGTTGGGAGATATTAGAGGATGGTAGGCCGATTATTATATTTATGTATGACACACCCAGCCATTTCCTCTGTTGTTAGTGTTGTGAGTCAGTATATGCATTCTCCTCGGATTCAGCACTGGGAAGCCATTGATAAGATACTTGCATACCTGAAGAAGCATTCGAGCAAAGGAATTATTCTATTCTCAAATCATGGGAATTTGAAACTGGAGTTCTATACAGATGCAGATTGGGCAGAATGTCTAGATGATAGGAGATCCACATTAGGGGTATGCATCTTTGTGGGAGGAAAAATTGGTTTCATGGAAGAGTAAAAAACAGTAAATGGTGGCTAGGTTAAGTGCAAAGGCTGAATATAGATCTATGGCCCTGTACCTTTGTGGGAGGAAAAATTTGTTTCATGGAAGATTAAAAAACAGTAAATGGTGGCTAGGTCAAGTGCAAAGGCTGAATGTAGATCTATGGCCCATGGTGTTTTAGAATTACTTTGGGTTAGATCCTTGCTGGTTGAGATTGCCCACAATCCAGTTCAGCATGATAGGACAAAGCACATTGAGGTTGATAGATACTTCATAAGAGAAAGGGTGACAACCGGAGAAGTCTGCTTGCCTTATGTCTCCTCTGAGTTACAACTTTCTAATGTCTTCACCAAAGGGGTTGCAAAGAACAAGCTTCGACATGACTACACAAGTTGGGAATGTTTGGCATTTACTCTCAACTTTGAGGGGGGAGTATTGAGGATTTTGTGCAGATTTGTTTGTTGATTTTGTTTATTATTTGTTTAGATAGTAAGTGGGGACCACAACACTCTTGTTGGGACCCTTTGGAGTGATGTTTTTTAGTTTTTTTTTACAGTTTTGTGTTAAGCGCCCTATAAGGTAATATTAGTAATTGTACTTATTTTTACTTAAAAGTACAAATACCAATGGGAGAGGGTGGCCAGATCTGATTTGCTCTCTTTCTTCTCAACTTCTTCTCTTCTCTTTCTTTTCTTCCACAAGAAACTCTTCTTTTCTTTGATGATTTTTGATTCAGCAGATTTCTACTTGAACCTTGGTTATGTTTGATTGGACGAGAGATGGGGGGGGGGGCGCTTGGTTCTTGTACCATCTCATCAGGAAGCTAGGCCTTTGGTTGCGTGAGTGAACATCTCATTCCATTGTGTGCAAAAGTTGGCCAGTTCTTTAGCTGTCTGCCTTGATAGAGTGGGTATTGTTTCAAGGAAGTTATATTGCAAGGCATCTATTCCTGATATGTAGGTGGTTTTTATTCCCTTTCTTTTTTTTTTCTGTCTTTAAGTAGGTCTTTCTCGGTCTTTTTGGGTTTGGTCTAGTTCTGTTCTTGAATTTCCTCTTTCCTGTAATTGATAGAATTTAGTTGTTCCTATTAGTATGACAAGCACCTTTCTAGAATAGTTAGCCTCATAAGAATTGCTTTCATCATTTTTAAAATCAGTAACAGTTAAACATTTTATTAATGGCTAAAGTGTACTGTAGTGTGTCAGAATCCTCATATACAAATTCCCACCCTCAGGAATTATAATTTATACCCTAAAACATTTGACTTCGTTTACCCCTTGTTTTGCAAACCTGTGATGTTGCTCTGTTCTTGGTTACCTATATACAAGAATTGCTTTGGGCTTGATTACTGACTTCTAAATATCCTTCATAATGTAGAGATTATTTCTTAGATGTTGCACAATTAGTAGCTTGTAGAAGGTTAAGGGGATGGGAGATCCATCATATGGATGGCTGAACCTTGTAGGAAGGTTGGGCGAATTTTCAAAAAAGTTCTTTACTCCCATATGGGAATCCTATTCCCAATTTACAAAATTGCATTTTCAAGGTTCGTTCTTGTAACCAAACCGGACCAAATCTAAAACCAAGATTAGGGAGGGATATACCTGATATGGAATCCACGCAAAAAAGCTCCTCCCAACATAGGTGTTCACGCCCAAAGAGTGTACC